TTCCTGAGGCCAAGTTTCCAAGAGAATATTAAAAGGGAGCTATCTTTGGGCAGTAACTTGCTTTAATATCTATAAACTTTTTCTTTAAGGTTAAATATGATACTCAAGATATAGACAAAATTTGAGGGCTGAAGAGATGGCTCAGTGGTTAAGAGCACTGGCTGTTCTTGGAGAGGAGCCAGGTTCAGTTCCCAGTACCCATATGACAACAACTGTCTATATCCAGTTACAGGGATCTGACGCCCTCTTCTGTCCTCCGAGGGCATTGTATGCACATGGTGGACTTGCATACATGCACATAAAAATCTCATACACATAAAATAGATTATAAGAGAAAAGGAAGAGGGGGTAGAGAGGTGGCTCAGCAGTTAAGAGCACTGACTGCTCTTGCAGAGGACCCGGGTTCAATTCCCAGCACCCACATGATGGCTACGAACTGTCCTTAACTCCAGTTCCAGGGGAATCCGAAGCCCTCTTCTGACCTCCGTGGCATTGCACAACACAGGTGCACTCACATACATGCAGGCAATACACTCATACACATAAAATAAAAATAATATATTTAAAGAAAGGAAGGGAGAGAGGGAGGGAGGGGTAATAGATATTAAAAGATAGCAGCAAAGGTAAAGAAAGAAAAAAAATTGTGTGACATGTATAATGGAACCTCTCCACCTAATGCTCCTGGAGCATAGTGGACCAGTAGCTAGAGAGAACACTAATGCATCTCTCAGTTCTCAACAACACAACTTCCTCATGCAACAGAGAGTGATGAACACAGAAGGCCACAACAGGCCAAGGTGTAGTGAGTAAGAGACTGCAGGGTACATGTCCTTGGATAGGACTCCTATATTAAACCTCAGCCACCCATGGCTCAGGGATCATTATGAAATAGGGGGGCAGAAAGATTGTAAGAGCCAGTGTTGGTGCACAAACATAAGGAAACTGAGTTTTCCAGGCTTCTTGGAACTTGCACATACGAGCTTACAGTAATGATGACAGCATGTACAAGACACATGCAAACGTAATTAGATAAAAACCAGCATAGAACTGAGGAAATGGTCAGGAGGCCCCAGCCTTAACTGAGAAACTTTGGCAACTCATCACTTCTGGGTGAGGAAGAAATGATCTTTAAGGGAGTGATGCTAGATAGGCTGAACAGGCTCCAGTGCATGAACTCACACTGAGGATATCTGGGCACAAAACCTGGACTCAGTAGGCCTTAATGTATATGACAGAATGCACAAAATCCTGTGGGCAAGCTATGAGGGGGCCTAGATAGGGGAGGGAGGGGTATCTAAATATGATTAAATTGTATGAAATGCCCAAAATTT